TGAGAGTTTCCATAGTGGATGAGAGAGCGGTGTATGCCACCGAGGTGATACGTGGTTGTGTACTCGAGATTTTCGGGGTTGAGTTTCTGATAGATTTGGTCCCTATTGCGATGGGGGATGTCTGTGTCATCGTGGGCATGGACTGGTTGAGCAGATTTGGAGCGATCATCGACTGCAAGCGACAACTGGTGACCATGCGAGACCCTAGTGGGGGAGTCCTTTCGGTGTATGGCGAGGGTACACGTTCCGGTTCAGCATTTTGCTCAGCTGCCAGGGCGAGGCAGAGCCTTCAGTAGGGATGTAAGGGATTCATAGCATATGTTATGGACGCAAGGGTTGAGTCGAAGAGACCGAGGTTTGTGAGGGAGGTTCCTATAGTGCGTGAGTTTCCGGATTTATTTCCAGAGGAGTTACCAGGCATACCTCCTGTTAGGCAGGTAGAGTTTAGTATCGATTTGGTTCCGGGGGCCATACCTATCACCAAGGTGCCCTATCGCCTTGCGCCTCCAGAGATGCAGGAGCTATCCTTGCAGCTGCAGGAGCTACTGGGGAAGGTATTTATTCAGCCGAGTAGTTCACCGTGGAGAGCTCCTATCCTTTTTGTCAAGAAAAAGGATGGTTCACACCGGATGTGCATTGACTACCGGGAGTTGAACAAATTAACGGTCAAGAACCATTATCCGTTGCTGAGGATTGATGATTTGTTCGATCAGTTGCAGGGAGCATCTTGGTTTTCCAAGATCGACTTGAGGTTTGGATATCATCAGGTGAGGGTTCGAGATGAGGATATTCAGAAGACAACATTTAGGACTCGTTACGGGCATTAAGAGTTCGTAGTGATGCCTTTCGGACTCACCAACGCACCAGCGGTGTTCATGGATCTCATGAACAGGGTGTGCAGACCGATGTTGGATCGCTCAGTAATCATATTTATCGACGACACTTTGGTGTATTCGAGATCTAGAGAGCAGCGTGAGGAGCATCTGAGAGAGATCCTAGGGGTTTTGAGATCGGAGAAGCTTTATGCCAAGTTCTCCAAGTGTGATTTCTGGTTACGAGAGGTCCAGTTCTTGGGACATCTAGTTAACCAGAAGGGGATTTTGGTCGACCCTGCCAAAATTGAGACGGTGATGGGTTGGGAGGTGCCGAGGTCGCCCACGGAGATCAGGAGTTTTCTAGGGCTGGCAAGCTATTATCGGAGATTCATCAGAGATTTCTCCAAGATCGCCGTGCCACTCACCAAGTTGACCCGGAAGGGTGTAGTTTTTTCTTGGGGTCCAGAGCAGCAGGCCTCCTTCGAGACACTTCGCCAGAGATTATGCGAAGCCCCGGTGTTAACCTTTCCGGAGGGAATGGAGGATTTTGTGGTGTATTGTGATGCGTCGATATCGCGTTTGGGAGCAGTACTTATGCAGTGGGGTCATGTGATAGCATATGCATCGAGGCAGCTGAAGCCTCATGAGGCGATGTATCGTACCCATGATTTGGAGTTGGGGGCAGTGGTGTTCGCCCTCAAGATCTGGCGTCACTATTTATATGGGGTCCGGTGTACCATATTACAGATCACAAGAGCCTGAAGTATTTTATGGATCAACCCAACCTGAATATGCGTGAGAGGAGATGGCTGGATGTGGTAAAGGATTGTGATTGCGAGATCCTGTACCACCCGGGAAAAGCCAACGTGGTGGCCGATGCCCTGAGTCGTAGGCCGGAGAGTGTTCCGATGCGTGATATTTGTATGAGGTTGACAGTGATGACTCCGGTGTTGGACACCATTCGAGGAGCTCAGGCCGAGGCTGTTAGGCCGTAAAACCAGAAGAGAGAGCGGGTTGTCCGGCAAGTATCAGAGTTTGTCACCGATGGTCGGGGGCTTATGACGTTTCAGGGTCGGATCTGGGTACTGCATGTGGGTGGAACGCGTATCATTATGATGGAAGAGGCTCATCGATCGAAGTTCTCGATCCATCCCGGGGCCACTAAGATGTATTTGGACATGAAAAGGGAGTATTGGTGGCCCTGTATGAAGAGGGACGTTGCATGGTTCGTGGAGAGGTGTCTAACATGTCACAGGGTTAAGGCCGAGCATCAGAGACCTCACGGAAAGTTGCAGCCGTTGG